CTACTCACTGACCTAGTGGTGTCCCGAAGGCACCAAGCTGCAGGAGCCAGAGGGAACAGGGGCTTGCGCAGCTTGGTGCCTTTGGAATACTGCTGGGTTGGTGAGTTGCACTCTGCCCGGCTGGAGAAGGGGATTGTGCAAGCACCTGTCGTCCCCCCCACTTGCCTCCTAGTCTTACCATGACCTGGCCTACCTCTCCCTGCAGGGCCAGAGCACTGCCACTGCCACTGCCATCCCAGCACTGAGGATGGCTTCTTCTGTGGCTTCCAAACCCCGGAAGTCTGCTGCTGAGTCTTCCAGCAGTGGCCACTCTAGGAGTACACTCTATGGTTGTGGGCTGGTTGCCAGAAGACTCTCTGCCCTGGCTGCCGGAAGACTTGGCAGCAGATTTCTGGGATTTGGAAGCCACAGAAGAAGGCACCTTCGGGATACCGCTGGATCAGTGAGTGGTGGTCTGCCTGGCTGGCTGGAGAGGTGGGGTTGCTGGGTGGCTGCTTGTGAGCATGGTCACCTAATGGCTGCTGTGTTGAGCTGCTGTGACACCATAATACAGACGTTCGCCTAAGGCTGTGCCCGGCTCTTCAGGAGCCCACTCATAAGAGAGCAGCCGGCTGGCAACCCCAAAACAATACCCCCCCGATAATAGGGCCCAGGCCATATTTTGGGGATCAAATAAAATAAGACCCTGTCTTATTTTTGGGAAAACATGGTATATTTATATGTATGTATGTATGCATGCATGCATGTACCACACACCCACACACCCACACACACATATATGAATTTTGAAGGATGAACATTATAGCTTAAGGGAAAATCTTATGTTTAGCTATCTTATCAGACTAATAAAAATTAAACATACAATACAATGAATAATATTATTTTGCATTTTTTTTACAAAATTTGGCAATATAAATTCAATACCAAAAACAAATAGTTATATAATCCATAGATCTGAGAAACCTAATCCCAGATTAATATATTTCCAATAATATTAGGCTTTACTTTTGCAGTACTTCAAAAGAAAATAGCAGAGATAATTATCTCACTGTAGTAATTCTTTCCAACACGGATGAGTATTTGGGTAACTCTTGTTACAAATAATATTGTAAAGAAAGGCTTCTTTTTTTACTAATACAAAGAAACTAAAAATAAACCCCAAGAGCAAGTAAAGGAATGCTCAGATTCATTAGTACTAGTCACACATTAACTGAACATCAGAAAAAAATTGGAATCAAGCCACCCTTCTCTTGGGGGAAAAAGGCACTTTCCATTGTTGGAATGGCATCTATTTTGGCAGCATCTCCAAAATTACTCTGGACAATAATCCTACAATATATTTGGTGTAATGCTTCAATAGACATTTTATACATGTACATCCAGTACATGTTAGATTCAAGATAACCAACATAAGAAACTTATTTAAAATCAGAATAACAAACAAAGTTAAGTAACTTTACAAAATAATCAATACTATCATTAGTAGGGAAAAAACACATTTTGCATTTTAATGTCATAATTTGTAATCTTATACATGAACTGGAATTGAGTTGTGCTCATATTGGATTTTTCAAGAATTTGCTACAGAAACACAGAAAACAATCCTTACTTAACAAATTATTGGTCCATATTGCTTCATATTATACACATCAATTGGATGTATTTTCTAGGGATTCAGTCCTATTTGGATACATGTAAAATTAAACCTAGGGCATTTTGAATATGTATGTGAACTTCCATTAAAGTAATCTGAATAAAACATGTCTATTAGAAAACACAAGCATTAGGAGAAACCCACATGAAAAAAAAAGCCCAGATTGCATTTATTATTTTTATAAATGACTCAAGACAGTGTACCTACACAATATTTTTCCTCCCCCTATTTTCCACACAACAACCTTGTGAAATCAGTTGGGCTGAGAGAATGACTGGCCCAAAGTCTTGTCTAAAGCAAGACTAGAACTCAGTCTCCTGGTTTCTTGCCTAGTGCTTTAACCATTAGACCAGTGGTTATTAACTTGGTAGTCCATGGACATCTGGGGGGCTGCAATGTTGTCACAGTGGGTCAGTGAAGGCTTGAAGAAACGTTATGATTTAAATCTTAAGTAACATCTTGGGGGTCTGTGGCCCCAAAAGGTATTTAAGGGGGTCCATGGTGAAGGAAAGATTGAGAGCCACTGCACAAGACCAAACTTTTCCTGCATTTTTAATCACAAATAGCTGTAGAAAGAATACTGAATTAATTTAACTTTGAGAAGTAAGAAACTGAACAAAATCAAACTGGACAGGTTGGTTCATCTGAAATGAACATGGTCACACTACATTCTCTTCCCACACTCCACTCATCAGTGACAGTATGTCAACTTTTAGACTGGCTAAAACAACTTCTATTTAAAAATGAGAGTGAAAAAAACCACACTGAAAAAA